ATATATATATATATATATATATATATATATAAAGTTAAAATCCTGCAAAAAATCAAGAATGAAGCCAAGATATAAATACCTGCAACATTTTGATGATGTTGCTAGCACCAAAAACTCTATGAGCAATGGTGAATTTAAGGGGATCAGTGGGAGGAAAATAGGGTGCCAATACACATTTGTCAACACATCTCCTGCGCAGGATTTTGCAAGCAGCACAAGGAGTAAGAATAACAGGTGGTGGTGGTGAAGGAGGTGCTGATATTATGCTTCTGGGAGATATTAATTCACTACTTGTTGTAGTTGCAGAAACAATATTAGCAGTTAGTGAAGAAATGGTGGTGGTTTTGTTATCACTACATTCCATGTTGATGGGGTGGAGGAAATGTAGTTAAGTAATGAACTTTATGTCGAGTCTAAAATGATCACTTTGGTGGGATTTGCGAGTTAGTGAGATGACAATATATATAGAGATAGAAGGAGGAAAATTTCATAGGGTCCATTGGGACTTTTGTTTTTTTAAGAGTTTAGCTTCTATACAGTACAATGTAAATAAATTCTTACGATATAAATAAATTTTTACATTGTCAAGTCGATCATCTTATAGATAATTATAAGTAGATGTTCATAAAAAGTGAAATTAGTAACTTGAAAAAATAAGGCATGTTACCCATTTCAATTGGCTGAAATATGTCAATGTTGGAAAAAAATTATTATAATGTCAATATACAGAAGATTAAATCCTTTCGGAAAAAAAGTCTAAATTTTTATTCACTGATATTGTGTGAATTTTCTTATGCTATATAAAGTTAAATTGACTTACAACAACACGTATATTTGTTTGCAATTATGATATGTAACTTGAATTACAATATGATAATAATCTATTATGGTCGATTGAAATTGCAATGATAATATCAAATTTTAAAGTTGTTAAATATTATTTGTGTATATAAGTTAAATTCAGTAAAAATTTTGTTTGCTTGGTTGTTGTTTTCTTGAAATTATGCAAGTGTTCCAAAGAAAACGTTTTAGAAAAAGTCTCCTCGGGCATTTTTATTCCAAGTTTTTAGAAAAATTTGAGTGACCACAACTTCCTCATTTTTTGAGGAATAATGACGTCATTTTATGTCATCGGTTGACGTAATTTTTAAGGTAAATCACTTGCATCCTACTATAGTTTGATCTTGATTTTTCTCAATACATATATTTTAACCAGCATCTGTATTTACATCTTTTTTGTCTCAATTTACAAGTTTAATTAGTTACAGCTTAGAGATTAACAACAACAACAACAACAACAACAACAACCCAATATAATCCCACTTAGTAGAGTCTGAGAAGGATAATGTGTACGCAGACCTTACCCCTACCCTGGAGTATAGAGGTTATTTCCAAATAGACCCCCGGCAACCCCTCTTGTCCCACAGCTTAGAGATTAAAGAAAGGAGAAAAGTTTCTAATTGGATAGGTACTTGGAATAAATCTCGATAATTTGTATTAGAAAAAGTAGAAATATATTTCATCAAATAAAAACCAAAATAGTTATAGCATATAAGAATGCTTTAATTGGGTCATCGCATATTTGCCGGCACATTACGTTTAAACGATCCTTACTAAGTTAATTAAGAGACCAACAAATTTTTAAAATGAAATTCCACATATTTTTTATTATTTAGATTTATTTGAGTTTTGAATTATGAGTAATGGTTAAATATATGACACAAAAATCAAACATATTTTAACTCGTTAAAGCACTAATGAAGGAGCAAATTAAAGACTAAGAAGTTGTTGATTGACTGATAGTTTTGTAGAATGGATTTGAGAAAAAGGTAAAAACTTACGGCTATATATATATATATGTTGCACTTATTTATATCTAACCAATAAATATAAGATCACAATCATCGCACAAACAAATAATTATCAGTTAACTATAATTAAATGATATATATTCTCATTTAATTTAGTTAGTGACTCTTAAGATTAATTAATTCATTAATTTGATGTAAACACAAATTATACAGGTGTAAGTACTTATTTGAAAAAAAATATGGTAAAATTTAAAAGGACTGAGATTAAGAATATTAATTGAACAAATCAAGATATGCGGCAAGAAGTTGAGAGAGAAGAAAATCTCAACCTTAGTTACCACCAAACTTGGGGGTAGATATGATTTCTGCACTCTCTATTAGAGGTTTCGAGTTAAAGATTTATAGTGATGCGAATAAATGTAGGATTGAAATACCCCAAAGAACAATTTAGGCACAAACAAGAAATTTAGCAAAAGCTATATAGAAAAAATTTATTAAACTAGGGAGAGAACTTGGTAGGAGGTTTTTTTTCACAACTCATAAACTCTTGAATCTTTCTACAACGTAGCTACCTCTCCACAATAGAAAATATGTAGTAGCATCCCTATTTATAATACTACAAAACAAAATTGACTATAATCTAGAAAACTTATTCCTACATGATTTGGGTTATGAATCCTAACTAGACATAAATTAAATATCTAGTAAATACCAAATCCTAGACAACTTAGGAATACTAATTAATCTTGGTTTAATTTTCATTAGCCTCCCTTAAACCAAGATCCTCAAATTTGAGCATGTTATGAGTAACATCAAGCCTTGTAGAAGTCAAGTACTTTAGATTCTCCACCAATTCCTTAAAATATGTTACATCAACAAAGTCGCGAGTATCGTCTTTAATTAACATCAGTTTCCCTTCAATATTGGCCATATATGATTTGTCTTTAATCATGGTAAATCCCTTCAAAATATCATCAATATAATTTTTCTTTACTTTGAAATCATCTACTTCTCCAGTTGCACCAATAGATATTTCATCTTGCTCCTTAAAACATGTAATCTCGAACAATGACACAAAATTTATTTTATCTTCGATATCTATAATCATGCGTTGTTGTGGTTCTGGATCCCAAGTTTTCTGCCCCAATCTTGGTTTGATTAATAATAACTTTCTCTTGATGAACCATCTTGCTTCTTTCATTACTCGGTTCATCTTCAATACCATCAAACAATTTTTCTTGTGAAATACTAACCTCATTTGGACGAACATCACTTGCAACCAAATCTTCCTTTTTAACAACCGGAGAAATTTTTGGCTCAATATTATTTGACTTTCCTTTGCATTCAATATAATCTCTTTTACAACAAAAATTGCATGTATCTTCTCTTCTTTTGTCCTTTGTTTCTGAATTTTGGCCTTCTTAATTTATCTCCGCCGGATTTGATGTGTCTTCTTTTTCTTTTAGTTGATCATCCTTTTCTCGTGATGTCTCCTCCAATGTCTCATCTTTTTGTTGATTCAGTGATCTCTCATATGTCACCAATTCACCTTTTAAATCATCAAGTCTGAGAGTGCTAAAATCTTTGGTAGCCTCAAGAATAATTTTCTTGTTGCTAAACTTCAAACTTAGAGACTGCAATATTTTTTCAACAATTTTAACTTCTTCCAATACTTCTCCATTGATCCTTAGACCATTGAATATTTCTTCAATTCTCGTAAAAAATTCTTTGACAGACTCTGTTGGTCCCATATGAGCCAACTCAAATTGACTCCTAAACTCATGCAGTTTCTCCTTTTTTATGTCAGCAACTTTTCGATATGACTTGACCAAGATTGTCCAAGCCTCCTTTGATGACTTTGCATCCAAATATTTTTTAGATATATACAAATCAACTTTGATGGCGAGATAGTAGCGTGCTCTATAATCTAAATGTATTTTTTTCTCCAATTGCGTAGCTGCATCACCCGTCAATGTTGTGCCGTCTAGGAGTTCCTCAAATCCTTCATTAATGATGGACCATAATCCAATATCCTTACAAAAAATTCTTCATTTGTTGATACCAAGTTTCAAAATTACTTTTGCCCTCAAACACAAAAACAGGACAATTAGGTAATTTTTTGGATCTCCTACCGGCTCTGACAGGATCTCACGAAGGCTCTGATACCAATTTGAAGGATTGAAATACCCCGAAGAACAATTTAGGCACAAGCAAGAAATTTAACAAAAAGCTATATAGAAAAAATTTATTAAACTAGGGAGAGAACTTGGTAGGAGGCTTTTTTTTTACAACTCATAAACTATTGAATCTCTCTACAATGTAGGTACCTCTTCACAATAGAAAATATGTAGTAGCATCCCTATTTATAATACTACAAAACAAAATTGACTATAATCTAGAAAACTTATTCCTACATGATTTGGGTTATGAATCCTAATTAGACATAAATTAAATAAACTAGTAAATACCAAATCCTAGACAACTTAGGAATATTAATTAATCTTGGTTTAATTTCCAACAATAAATAAAAAAAGATAGGAAACGCCATTTTCTTTTTATGGGCTTTATGCGACAAAAATAAAATAAAAATTTAAAAAATCTCAACCTTAGTCGAAAAAGTGGACCATCTAAATGTCAAAAATGCTAAAAAGTGATGGATATCATTTAATATAAATTTTTCCATTATAGAATAAACCAACTTTAATTATTTAACTTATTTGTGAAAGCCTAGCAACAACAATTTTCAGCTTTTCTTTATGTAATTCTGTTAGTTCTTTCTTTTAAAAGAAAATGACTATTACCTAATATTTGATCATGTGATATACTTTAGTGTTAATGTAAGTCAACAAGACAAGTAATCTCTTTGAAAAAAAAGTTTTTTTTTTTCTTTTACTACTTTTTAAAGGCTCATGACTCTAGGCGAAATAAAATAATATGTTAAAAAGATTCCACTAGCGTCAGAAATCCAAGAAATTCTGTTTTATTATATACAGAATAATTCAAATTGGTTGTGATGATAATGATATAATAATATACTGGATAAACAATTCAGATGCAGCTACCGTTCGTGATCTCAAAATTCAATTTAATACTAATACTAATAAGAACTCCCAAAAAATTAAAGGTTCATTTTATATACAGAACAATTTATTTAAACCTTCTCCTCTTTCCCGTATTTGCCATTGTCACTAAAAAGCTACTCCAATTTACATTAATGTAATAATAATGCATGACATTTACGTGTAATTGACGAAGTTAGAGTTATGTGTACCTTACACTTTAATTTTTAGCTGCTTGTTCGTCTTCTTTAGAGAAGCAAAATTCATAAATCATTTATTTTACACCAAATTTTAGTGACATAATTAACAAATAAAAGATCAGCATCATGTCCATTTATCTACAAAATAGGTCTACAGATAATTCAACAGAACTAAAAGCAGTTAACCAAAATTTAATTTATTCAACTTTTTGTTGTATATATCATATGGCTCTTAATTAGCTTTATGCTTTATTTAAGGGAAATTCCATTTTTCATTTTTCAGAATGTCATGACAGGACATTACATAAATTCCTTGATCAGTGCTAAGAAATTAATACAGGAAT